AAAAAAAAAAAAAAAAGCCTTTCATATTATTCCTTTTTCTCACACAAAATTTAATATCTCCTGCTATTAAGAAGATCATAAAATGTATAAGCTTCAACATTTATACCTAAATGGATAGACCTTGAGACCACACTCTAAGTGAAATAAGTCAGACACAAAATGTTTAAATACTGCATTGTTTCTCTGGTATGAGAAAGCAAAAGTGGAAATAAGGACTGAGGTGTAAAATGGATGTTGGGAAATGGGAAGAAAGTGTTCAAATGGGAAGGGGCACAGGGGGGAGGGTGGGGGAAAGGAAGGAAGGGACAAGAAAAGAAGTGAAAACAGAAGGAAGAAAGGGAAACAAAGCTTTTGTACATGGGGAGGAGAGGGAAGTTTGAGGGGGAAAAGGGATAAAATAAAATTTATTTAAAAAACAAAACAGAATAAAATGAGCCATTTTCTCTCAAGGGAAGGGAAATCATAAAACTTACAAACAAAGCGAGTTAAAATAGAATTGTTCTTTTTATACTGTGTTGGAAACATGGCTTTTTCAACTGGACATCCACGACATAATATATTTTCAGTAAGATATACTATGTTCATCAAGACCCTCAATGATATCTCATTACTACCAGCCCCAGGAAAGTAGAATTCTAAGGTCTCTATTAAATAAATAATGTTTTATTTGCTACCTTCTTCACCGTCCCTGTGATCCTGCCGAGGTGCAGATTCTGATGTAGGAGCCCCACTTGCTTTTGTGCACATCCAGGAAATTTGTCCAGAAGAGGCTTCTGACTTCCAACTGCACACGTCAAAGTTAAATCCACAGGACTGACACACTACAGTTGGAAGGAAAAGATCTTAGTGAACCATGACAGTTTGCTAGAGCAGCTATTTAACCAGGGCTGGAGGGCCGGGCATTTAGCTCAGTGGTTCCAGCTCCTGCCTCGCCAGCAAAAGACCCAAGGAGTTCCATCCCCAGTACCAAAATAAAATAAATTAATTAACCAGGGTTGGATGTTCTAATCAATGGAGTGACCTACACAAACATTCATTTGTGGAGATTTTACTTCAATAAGCCCTAGGGTAGACCAGTAACTCCATTTTGCAAAAGTTCTTCAGTGGCTCCAGATGTGCACCTCTCACAAAAGGACCACAGATGGACCAGAAGGGAAAGGAAGGAAAGAGGAAGGGAAGAAAGGGGTAAGGAAAGGAGAGAGAGAGAGATTTCTAGTTTCTTTGGTACCACTGCTTCATTTACAATTTTTAAAATTTTATAGCATTTGGCCTGAGGCTGAGATTGTGGCTCAGTTACAGAGTACCTTCTTAACATGCAATAAGGCCCTGGTTTTGATCCCCAACACTGAAAAATTACAGTGATACCTTACCTTACCTACTTTCTAGAATTAGATCATTTAAATTATCTGCTATCCATAGCTGCATTGGACTTTTAATGGAGAGCAGTGTATAATTCTAGATGGTCTTACATCACCTTAAAAAGGTGTTTACTAAAATAAACCACTGCCTTCTCACACCTCAGCTAACTCTAGGACATTCATGAACACGGGTTTCTTTCTAGAATTAGATCATTTAAATTATCTGCTATCCATAGCTGCATTGGACTTTTAATGGAGAGCAGTGTATAATTCTAGATGGTCTTACATCACCTTAAAAAGGTGTTTACTAAAATAAACCACTGCCTTCTCACACCTCAGCTAACTCTAGGACATTCATGTGAACACGGGTTGTATAAATGCATACTTATGTCTTATACACCGTGTACACACCAGTGAGGTGATCATCGCGACTTAGCACTTACATCTCAGTTCTTCATCTGGAGAATCACATCCTCCTTACCTACTTTCTAGAATTAGATCATTTAAATTATCTGCTATCCATAGCTGCATTGGACTTTTAATGGAGAACAGTGTATAATTCTAGATGGTTTTACATCACCTTAAAAAGGTGTTTACTAAAATAAACCACAGCCTTCTCACACCTCAGCTAACTCTAGGACATTCATGTGAACACGGGTTGTATAAATGCATACTTATGTCTTATTTTCTAGAATTAGATCATTTAAATTATCTGCTATCCATAGCTGCATTGGACTTTTAATGGAGAACAGTGTATAATTCTAGATGGTTTTACATCACCTTAAAAAGGTGTTTACTAAAATAAACCACAGCCTTCTCACACCTCAGCTAACTCTAGGACATTCATGTGAACACGGGTTGTATAAATGCATACTTATGTCTTATACACCGTGTACACACCAGTGAGGTGATCATCGCAACTTAGCACTTACATCTCAGTTCTTCATCTGGAGAATCACATCTGCAGAGATCCGTATCTGGACAACACAGCGGCTGCTCTGTATTTGATGCTTCTTGATGTGGCAAAATTTCATCTGTTGAGTCTAAATGGTAAGAAGTGAGATGCAGGTACCACTGTCAAGATTCCTTGCTATCATTTCAATGTTGCAAAGCACTTTCTGCCCTTTGGTAGCCCTTACCAAAGGGGAGGGAGAGGGAGCAAAGAAAGGGCAAGAAAGGAAGAGGAGAGAGGGAGGGGAAGAGGGGGAGGGAACAGGCTTGGAAATAACTTCTGTGTTTCAGTCAGATCAGTGCAGTGTCTAGCAGGTCCCCTACGCAAACCTAACCTTCTATTTCCACAAAAGTAAATAATCTGCCCCAATGTATCACACTAATTTTAGTGTAGGTGCAGCCGAATCGAGCACAATCTACCCTAAGAGCCTGTTACAACTGTACAGGTGTCGGCTCTATCTATCACACGGGTGATTTCTTTAATTGGAAGATGGATCTGCCCTGGAACTCTGAATCTTGCTCGACTTATGCTTGGCTTATTGAGGGTTTTCACTTGCAAAGGACTTTGTGCCCCTCCGGCCCATTATTATTTCCACACAATTCTTGTCTCACCTAAGTACTGAGCTTTGACTCTTCACACCGAACTGCACCTGTCAGGACACCAGCTATTGCGGTCATCTGCAGACTTTGGTGCTCTGCCTCTGGGTCCCTAGGAATTTCTGCTCTGGGCACACTTTCATTTCAGTCACTGTCATCTTACTACTCCGGTTCATGATTTTTTCCTATTAATGATCCTGACGGAAACCTTTGATGAAAAGAAACCTACTACCACTCTTCTAATTGAGTGTTGTCATGATTAATAGTGACACATTCCTAGCACAATGTTAAGTGTCTCATTCTGCAACCATCTGTCTTCCCAGCTTATTCTCTTTAGCATCTCAACACAGCTACATGCTGACTATTTCAATCAACAATACACCACAATATAGGACAGGACAATGTCCCATAAGATTATGGGACTACCAATGTCATAGCCATCTTGGCTTAAGTTTTCACAAAGTCAGGATCACCTCAGGACACATGATTGCATATATAACTGTAGTTTGACTCTACCAGGCCCTAGAAGTCCCTCGTCCCATCATCTCTTGAATTCTTTTCATCCATTATCATTTCCTCATTTCCTTACAGATGTTAGACAAGAAATTTTCTGTGTCTCTAACTCTTGCACCAAACACTCTGATAAATATAATCTTCCACCTAATATATCAGTAGAATTGGACCCACTCAATGAATTCTTCCTTCTTGAAAGATTTTTTCCAGGTCCCCACACACAGTTTTTTCCTAGCTTTTCTGTTTTTTTACTTGTCATTTTTTTTCTTGGTATCCCTTGCTGGCTTTCCCGTATCACCACTTTAATCAGATTACACCACAGTTCAGTTTTCATATCACTTATTTACACATTCATAACCTTATTGATATCACCCCATCTCATGCCTTTAAATTTTTCCTAAATGTTAATGACTCTGAAATTTTATCTGAGTTTAGCCCTTCTGCTGTGTTAAACTCAAGCAACCAAACTGATTACTGCCTTCTCACACCTCAGCTAACTCTAGGACATTCATGTGAACACGGGTTGTATAAATGCATACTTATGTCTTATACACCGTGTACACACCAGTGAGGTGATCATCGCAACTTAGCACTTACATCTCAGTTCTTCATCTGGAGAATCACATCTGCAGAGATCCGTATCTGGACAACACAGCGGCTGCTCTGTATTTGATGCTTCTTGATGTGGCAAAATTTCATCTGTTGAGTCTAAAGGGTAAGAAGTGAGATGCAGGTACCACTGGCAAGATTCCTTGCTATCAATTCAATGCTGCAAAGCACTTTCTGCCCTTTGGTAGCCCTTACCAAAGGGGAGGGAGAGGGAGCAAAGAAAGGGCAAGAAAGGAAGAGGAGAGAGGGAGGGGAGGAGGGGGAGGGAACAGGCTTGGAAATAACTTCTGTGTTTCAATCAGATCAGTGCAGTGTCTAGCAGGTCCCCTATGCAAACCTAACCTTCTATTTCCACAAAAGTAAATAATCTGCCCCAATGTATCACACTAATTTTAGTGTAGGTGCAGCCGAATCGAGCACAATCTACCCTAAGAGCCTGTTACAACTGTACAGGTGTCGGCTCTATCTATCACACGGGTGATTTCTTTAATTGGAAGATGGATCTGCCCTGGAACTCTGAATCTTGCTCGACTTATGCTTGGCTTATTGAGGGTTTTCACTTGCAAAGGACTTTGTGCCCCTCCGGCCCATTATTATTTCCACACAATTCTTGTCTCACCTAAGTACTGAGCTTTGACTCTTCACACCGAACTGCACCTGTCAGGACACCAGCTATTGCGGTCATCTGCAGACTTTGGTGCTCTGCCTCTGGGTCCCTAGGAATTTCTGCTCTGGGCACACTTTCATTTCAGTCACTGTCATCTTACTACTCCGGTTCATGATTTTTTCCTATTAATGATCCTGACGGAAACCTTTGATGAAAAGAAACCTACTACCACTCTTCTAATTGAGTGTTGTCATGATTAATAGTGACACATTCCTAGCACAATGTTAAGTGTCTCATTCTGCAACCATCTGTCTTCCCAGCTTATTCTCTTTAGCATCTCAACACAGCTACATGCTGACTATTTCAATCAACAATACACCACAATATAGGACAGGACAATGTCCCATAAGATTATGGGACTACCAATGTCATAGCCATCTTGGCTTAAGTTTTCACAAAGTCAGGATCACCTCAGGACACATGATTGCATATATAACTGTAGTTTGACTCTACCAGGCCCTAGAAGTCCCTCGTCCCATCATCTCTTGAATTCTTTTCATCCATTATCATTTCCTCATTTCCTTACAGATGTTAGACAAGAAATTTTCTGTGTCTCTAACTCTTGCACCAAACACTCTGATAAATATAATCTTCCACCTAATATATCAGTAGAATTGGACCCACTCAATGAATTCTTCCTTCTTGAAAGATTTTTTCCAGGTCCCCACACACAGTTTTTTCCTAGCTTTTCTGTTTTTTTACTTGTCATTTTTTTTCTTGGTATCCCTTGCTGGCTTTCCCGTATCACCACTTTAATCAGATTACACCACAGTTCAGTTTTCATATCACTTATTTACACATTCATAACCTTATTGATATCACCCCATCTCATGCCTTTAAATTTTTCCTAAATGTTAATGACTCTGAAATTTTATCTGAGTTTAGCCCTTCTGCTGTGTTAAACTCAAGCAACCAAACTGATTCCATTTTGTCTAGCTTCCTCCTTTCTGTTAGATAAAGCTTCTTGTCTGTGGGAGGATGCCCACTGGTTGACCCCCTGCAAAAACATCTGGGGTCTGTCTGCTGATAAGAGATACTCCTGGAGAAATCATCCAATGTCCCCAGCTGTCACCCTCACCCTCTAACTGTCCCTCTGCTTTTGTAACCTGAGCTTCTCTTCCCCTCT